AGAGAGAGAGAGACAGAGCATATTCTAATCAAACCAACAAACCAGTTACAAGAAAAGCAACGGAAAAACTCACATAGAATGCAACCACAACTCCTGCTGTGTAATCAGCTGGTAATTTGATCGAAGCGCTAAAAAATCCATGGAGAAAAAGATCTTGAGATAAAAATCCAGCCCCTGAATAATACCCACAAAGTAATTACCATTAAAACAATAAAAAATATGTAAACTCAAGGAACAAGATAAAGAAAATTAAAACCAATAATGGGGTTTTCTCTTTCTCTTACAAGAAAAATCAAAAGAATAAAAGTGGTCCTCCCCAATGAAAATCAGAAAGAAAGGAAAAAAAAAGAAAAGAACAAATGGGTATTCCGAAGCAAATCAGAAATAGAGATTTTCATTGCCAGAAAGAAAAGGAAAAAGGAAAAATGGGTTTTTTTTCCAATAAAATCAGAAAAATGGGTGAGGTGATTTTCCATTTTCAAACCTGTTGACTTGTCGAGTAAAATCTGAGCAGTTTTTCCATCTTTTGAGACGATTAGATTGTCTCCTCCAAAGAGACGACTGTAACCCTCATCAAATAATATCTCTCGTGAATAAACCATCGACGAATAAAGGAATAAAACCAATAGAACAAAGAGAAAACCCTCCATTTTCTTGCAGAGAGAGAGAGAACGCCCCCTCTGTTTCTTTATCTCAATAAGCTCACAGACCCACTCCTCTCTCTCAAAACTAGATGCTCGAATCCCTCTATTTCTCTCTCTAAAAAGAAGACATTAAGTTCATCGATAGCACTTGTTTCTCTCTCTAAAGAGTTGTGCTCTGAAAGAGATGGCACGACGAAGAAAAAAACGCACCCTTTTATTTGTAGGGGCACTGAAAATAAATATTAAAATTAAATAATAATCTTTCTACAATAAATTTAAATAAAAGAATAATTTAGAGATTTTTCATCTCTAAAATTAAGTAAAATGAAAAATGAAATCTAGAAGAACACAAAGGCGCCACTCCTTTTTAACACACGGGGGACTCTTAGACCCCTGCCATGGATTTTCTTAGGAATGACTAAAATACCCTTTACCTTGTTTTAGTACTCGACATTCTTATACCCCATGTGTCAACCGATCAACGGGTCTTTGGATGTGTAAGTCCTCCATATGCCTTATTCACGCGAACAAAATAAAAAAAAAAAAATTTTGGATATGTTTTGATTATGTAAATTCTAATATATATAAAATCTAATTTTAAAAAATAAAGTTGTTCGAAAAGGCAAGTCTAATTTTAAAACATATTTGTTTTGAAATTAAAACATATTTGTTTTGAAAAATAATGTTGTTTGAGTGGTTAGCAATTGACATCAAACAATGTCATATTTCAAGTTCAATTCCAACCACTAAACTACGTAAAAAGTAAATAATGCACTATGGCCGCACCTACCAAAAAATAAGTTAGAATTCTTTGATTCATTTTTGACTAATCGTTCCTTTGAATTAAAGTGCTTTTCATTTGATTTTTTCAATTGAACAACCTAATTCTAAACTTTCTAACAAGCCTAGAGAGAGAGAGAGAGAGAGAGAGATTGTTCACTTTGTAGAGGAAAGAGAAAGACAAGATGTACTATTCTATGAACTCGAGGATTTGGTTGGGTTGTTAGGGTGTAAAGGGCCGCAACACCAAGTCCATGGTTTGAATCCCAAAAGCAAATGTAGAGATGCATTCTAGGAAAGCAATACATTTATTTAGAGGGGAAAGACAAATGAGAGAGGAGAGAAACATGTAATCCTAAGTTATATGAAAATGGAAAAAGTTTATATAAGTTTGTACACCTTAAAAATTCAATAGCAAAGAGTATTTGAAAGTTGGAAAACTTTCCGATTCATCTTTTCGACTTTGAGATGTATGAATATAAAAAAAAAAAAAAAAATTTACATCCTAAAAATAGTACGCCTTTTAACAAGTTTTTTCATCTTTTTTTTCAAAATTTTGAAGTGTTTATAAATATGCTCAATCTGAACTATTTGTTGAATATAAAAATTATTATTTCCAATCGAACAAAAGATTTTTGTTGCCGAAACTATATCTTTAAACAAAATTTAAATATACATATTACCTATAATCTACAGTGGGCATTGAAAAAGATATAATTTGGAGAGAGAGAGAGAGAGAGAGAGTGTGAGTGTGAGTGTGAGTGAGGGAGTGCGGGGGAGGAGCAAAAGAAATTAATTCGTCGAACCACTTCCCAAGGGCTTAAGGGGCACATTCACAATTATCGTAAAGGACACAAGTATTTCCACAAGCTTAAGTGGCTGACCCCCCGGATACGGCCTTGTAAGTTACAAGTTGTAACGTTTACTGACACGCCACGTGTCATTCATAACTCCCGATATCCCCACTTATCTAACCAAAATATCCGCCATGCCCTCCTCCGTGATCCGGTGACACCTGTCACTCCGTGAGAACCGCTTGTGCTGACGCGACAGCCTGTTTGTCGCAGGTCAGCAAAACACGCTAGGCAGCCCGTACTTTCCACGTCATCCTAGACATGCCATGTCAGCACCAAAATCGAGCTGACGGGAAAGTTCCTTAGATCCACGTCGTCATGGATGTGCCATGTCATCTTTCGCCACGTCATTGCTAGCCGTTGGACATTGGACAGGCGCGTGGGTCCCACGTTGCCGTGAAAGGAGAGGGCAGCCGTTGGAGTTTGCCCTTTCAACGGCACCGTTAACGGCGTCGATGCCGCCGTTAATGCGGCGCCTCCCAAATAAAGGCACCTTTTGCTCGCCCCTTTCTCACTCTAAGAAGATCCTACATTTTGATCAATCTGTGCCCTATTATATATGGTAACAAAGTCTTAGTTTTCAAGATTTGAAATGACGTTAGAGGTTAATGTAGTTGTCGAAGTTAATTCAAAAAATTTGTAAAAAGATGACTAGAATTATGAAGCTTGCGGTGGAAAATGAGAGACCAAAAAAAGGTTTTATCCATTGTTTAACCTAATTTAGTCATTCATCTATCTACAATTCAACATTGTTAGCAACTATTTCTTCCGGAAAAAAATGGAAGGTTTTCAGTTTTCTACGTTTATGCACCTCATCTAAACATTGCAAATGAAGACAAAGCAATAAAGATCATCATCGTCAAAGTTTTTTTTCATCCCAACTAGAATCCTAATCCGTAAGTGTGCTCTATTTAGAATAAAAAAAATATTGAAAAAAACTTGAATGTCTAGATCGCCACCAATGAGGTAATCTGAGGATTTATAATACAAATATAAGCTACCTTTGAACTAAAACAACTACTAGCTTCTCTTGAGAGGTTCGATTGGATTTGTTTCGAAATAGTTTCCATAAATTAGGAAGGATAATTTAATTTAATGAGAAAGGATTAGACGGAATAATTTGTCAAAAAAAAAAGGATTAGAAAGAATAAAGATAGAATTATGTAGAATAAAGACATGACTATGTAGACTAAAGTGACCTTTACTTAACCAAAAAAAAAAAGCAATGAAAGGCACCTTTGCGCGTCCCTCACTCTAACGTCCGTCAACTTTCGGTTCCGTGACTACCAAGACTCGGGCGGGCCCCACATATTCGCATCGACATTTGTGCACTCTAAACCGCCTCAATTTATGTTTAATATTCATTGTTAGACATTTTACTTCGAAATTTTCATTTTGAGACCTTTGTTAACTCATAAATAATTTAAGAAATCTTTATTGATTTATTTGCAATTCTTGGGATGTTTTTTTCAAGAGATGTTTTGCATCGATACCATTCACATGACAACACGTGGCGCAATAATGCCGTTTATTGGGACCAATTGATTTTCTCCTGCTGACCTGTCAACTGTGGCTGCCGCATCAGCGATCGTGGAGCCATGCATTATCGTTAAATTAGGGTATCGTTGACGACGTGGCATGTCAGGAGGAAGACAACTCAACTTTCGCTGTAGAGAACCACTCCTGCAAGCAACGACAAAAGTGTTTTTTTTTTTTTTATAATTCAGACCCGGTGCAGTTTAATGATTAAAATACCCCTAAATATTTACCATGCTTCCATCAAATAACAAAAATACCCCTAAATATGCCTCCACTATATTGGAATTGGTTAATGAGGTTTCCATCAACGCCTAAGCCCTCCAGTTTCATATCATTCTCACGGATTTTTCTACTTTTTTTTTTTTAAACATTTTATATAAAAGAATTTGAAAAATTGATGGGCCCACTCAGAATCGATACTTCTCACTAATTCAATCTCCAAATTTTAAAAACGATGCTATAGATTATGATACGTATTTCTATACATGTTTTTGCTTGAAATTTCACATATATGCGATCTACCATCCATACTTATTAATGGAAGGTAGCGATGAACAACTTTTTTGTGTTTCGAAATCGTCCATTGATGATGATAGAAAGTTGGTGGATGGCTATATAGTGTATTATTAACAATGCATATTCAATCCAGCCAACTTTATTGGTAAATATGTCATAGTTAGAAAAAGAGCTCGAGCTTAATTGGTTAGTGTTTGATGATTTACAACACTACGTCTTAAGCACCATTCCTACAAAAAATGAGGTCCTGTCTCCACTTACTCATAAAAAAAAAGAGTAAACAATGGTCTATGTAATCTCTAAGGGTTATTATCATCAACTAAAGCTGAAGGCCGATTGTGAAATAGGGGAGGCACTTAAAAAGCAAGTCACAGTCCTTGCCCCATACCGATTCTATCAATATATAGGAAATTGTCTAGGTCTAGAAGAGAACTTACGATTTGCTACAGTAAAAAAGGCCGAATCACCGATTCAAATCGGTTCTTGGTTAGTTCATTGTTTTTGCACGTGTTTTTTAACCGATTCACCATTTTTTCAGCACAGTAAAACAGGGATCCAGACCATCGATTCACTGATCTAGACTGATTTTTGCAATGCTGATGCTAGTTGCGGATCCAATTTTTAAATCACATTATGATAAGCATAGTTTTCCTCTTCTATAAAAAGAGGGGTAATTTTGGGTATTGAAATCATTTCAGGGGTTCTCCTATGATTCTCCAAAAATTCGTGGGGGAGCAATGGGATCCTGTGGATAAGACATACATCCACCCGTAACTGCTCACCAGCTGTCCACTTGGCTTGATGAGTCAGCATCATGGTACCTCTCCCTTGGTGCCACGTGGATCCTAAAAATGCAGGGGCCCACAGTCGAGAGCTATGATGAGGACCACTCTACGCGTATTTGCCTTTAAAAAACATAACTTTTCCTCATTTTTTTGTTTCTCTTTTGACCGTAATAATTTTCTAAAAATAATAATAATAATGTAAAAGATGAGCCTCTTTTTTGATTGGTAGAAAAAGAAGAGATGTTTTGTCATCATTGGTGCAACCATCAGAGTGCTTGTCTCTATCCTTGTGGGACCCAAACAAATACTTTTTATTTTTCTTTTTGTTTTTTACATATTAATATTTCATATATTAAATTGACCTTATATTTATATTAGAACAGTGATTTTACGAGACCATCCTACCCTCTCACTTGGGTAAGACTTGAAATGATCACTATTAAATTTAATACAGATCTCTAAAAAAATCAAGTTTTTGATAACTTTTCTAGAGATCGATGTTAAATTTAAAGATGTTCTTTTGAGGTCTTACAAAAATGGATGTGGAAAGGTCTTATAGGATCATTACTCTTTATATTTTATCTCCAATTTTTATTTTAATTATTATTTTTAAATATTACTTAAGTATTTCATTGATTGAGAAAAACTAGTTTATGTTTGTTTATCATGCACAAAATTGTTTGCAAAGAGTATATTAATTTTATGTAATTTATTGATTAGGCATGCAAACTACTTATTTAGATCTCGATTAATTTTATTTGAAATAGACAATATTATCTGATTAATATATTCTGGATAATATTTACTTGTTGTTTGGCATATACCTTGTTTTATA